AAAGTTTTCCAGGAAGATAGTAGCCTTCTTCTTTCTCACCCAGACACACAAGGTCACTTAGCTGAGCCCAAGTCAGCCACCTGGTACAAGCTGATAAAGTTGGGCTAACTCAAGAACAATGGTCTCTCTAATAACAAGAAAAAAGAAGGGGTAACTTTACAAATGTAAGAAAGCAAAAGTCCTTGTACTCATGCCAAAGCATCTTTAAAGATTCTCTTTGAAAAACTGTTTTATGCCGTTCTTTCCTATTTTATGATCTGATGATGTTTGCCTTTGCCAAGTCCTTTGTTTTGTAATAATATATAATCCTGCACTGAAGTAAGTAAATCGCAACAGCATGTCTCAAAAACATTGAGAGTGTCTGTGTGTCACTTTCCTCGCCGTATCCTGATCTCTCCTGTGCCTTCGCCCTGATTCCCTTACGGTCTGAGTGGCTCCCCTGAGCCGGTCCGTAGCAGAAAAGTCAGTCTGCAGTTGTCATCCAGACACAGAGGAAGCAAGATGTGACTGCCTCTCTAAAAAAGGTACCAAGCCACGTGGCTAACACAGACAAGAATTATGGGCTAATACAAGTTATAAGAGTTAATAAGGAACCTGGGCTAATAGGCCAATCAGTTTATAATTAATGTAGACCTCTTGTGATGTCTTTGGAACTGAATAACTGCTGGGTGGGACAGAAAGCTCTGTCAACATTCCTGTGTCAGGGAGACACTAGGTGTGTAAGAACATGCTTTACACACACAAAACATGTTAGTGTTCTAACACATGTTAGTGTCTAACACTGTCTCTGTCAGTGTTTCGAATTTTCTAATGCAGCACCTTATGTTTGTGCTCCAGGAGAGCTAAGGCTGCTCATAGTGACTGGTCAGTTCTATCCATGCCTGAAACAGAAGATAAATGAGAAATGAGAAAATAACTGAACACTGGGGTGGAATCCTCTCCAGAGAATGCTGACTGGCAGTTCAGTGTGTGAGCGCTGCTCTGTGACCGCGTCCCCCCCGTGTTTCTAACCCCACCGCAGAGTGTTCCAGAGAACGCTGACTGGCAGTTCAGTGTGTGAGCGCTGCTCTGTGACCCCCCCCCCCCCCGTGTTTCTAACCCCACCGCAGAGTGTTCCAGAGAACGCTGACTGGCAGTTCAGTGTGTGAGCGCTGCTCTGTGACCCCATTTCCCGTGTTTCTAACCCCACCCCAGAGCCGCCTCCAAGAGAAAAGCACAGTGTGACTTCAGCCGAGCATATTCCACGTCCTTCTCCTTCAGCCTGGGAAGTCAGAGGAAAGACTACAGCTCTCAGACTCAGGGCTCCCCATCCCACTTTATGGAACTAATTAAAGGAAAACGATGCAACTCGGTCTTGAAAGGAAGGCTCCATGGGAGTCTAAGTTCCTGCTCTCCTTAACTGAGATGTGATACTTCTCCAGACTCTGATATGACAGCCCCAAATTTATTTTAGGAAATGTGGTGCTTTGAATGAGAGTGGCCCTCACATGCTCATGTTTCCGAATGTTTTAGTTTCATTTGGTGGAAATGTATTGGAAGGATTAAGGACCTTGTTGACCTTGTTGGAGAAAGTATGTCACTGGGGGTGGGCTTTGAGATTTCAAAAGCCCACATCAGGCCCTCTCACTCCTATCCTCTTCCCTTTTCTCTCCTCTCCTCTCTCCTTCCCACTCTGCCTCCTGCTTGCGGATCAGATGTAAGCTCTGAGTTACTGCTCCAGCACCTGCCTGCCTGCCTGCCCTCCCACCTGCCTGCCCGCCCGCCTCCACATTCCCTGCCATGGTGGTTATGGACTCACTCTCTGAAACTGTAGCCAAGCCTCGAATTTAGTGCTTTCTTTTATAAGTTGCCTTGGCAGTGGTGTCTCTCTTTACATCAAGAGAACAATAACTAGGACAGGAAATGCGGTGTCTGTGGTGTGGAATTCTCACATCTCCTTTAGTTAGACACCTGTATATAGTATATGAAATATTGTAAAGAAATTCCAATTACACAGTAAAATATTATCACTGAAAGTCAAGGTATAGGGTGAAACTGTCTTATACTTATTGAGATTATGTGACATTATAATGGAAGGTATTATGGAATGACAAAATAGATAAAATTCACAAGGACAGGGAACCATTGAAGGATTTAGACCCCGGCAGATAGATGGTGAAAACATTTAACAAAGCAGATTTTCTGAAGTAAAAATTCTATAACTTTGTTAGAAGGAAGTTTTAATCATTTATAAGATTATAGACCATGTATTCTAGATAGCAGCAAGTGTTGATTAAATAAGTGGTGCTTAATTATTCCCATTGAATTCTAAAGTTCTTTATAAACTCTATGGGTTTGTTTTCCAAATCCCAGTCACAAAAATCAGAACATAGTAAGGGCTTAGGGACAGCAGGAGGAGGTCGTGACGTTTTCCAGAGATCAGGTAAAATGCCAGTTTTCTCTACTTTGAACAGCTCTGACATCTGAGTTGTGCCAGGATATAGTGGGCAAACAAAGGAGAGAGTAATGGGGCTCCATTGTCTCCCAGCTGTATGGGACAGATGACACCAGGAGCACACACTCTGGATGTTGCTTTGTGATCTGTGTGCACTGAGTAGCAGGTGCATGTTTAATACACTAATTCCATGGAAGAAGGCATGAACCTGTAGAGTTAAAACCTCAGTTTACACCGCATGCATGTCAGCACTGCTAACTAAGAAGTAAGGAAATCCTGTTGTAGGGGAAAGCACGGGCCCTTTGTTCCAGCTGCCCCGCTAGCTTACACTCAAAATAATCACACAGAAACTGTATTCATTCAAACACTGCCTGGCCCATTAGCTCTAACTTCTAAGTGGCTAACTCTTACATATTAGTTTAACCCATCTCCATTAATGTGTGTCGCCATGTGACTGTGGCTTACTGGCAAAAGTCTAACCAGCGTCCGTCTCGGTCAGGAGAACCATGGTGTTTGCCACTCTGTCCTTCCCAGCATTCAGTTCTGTCTACTCTGCCTACCTAAATGCTGCCCTATCAAAAAGCCAAAGCAGTTTATTTATTCACCAATGAAAGCAACACAAATACAGAAGAACCTCCTACACCACTGGAAATGTGCATTTTTCCTTAATTCCACTGAACTAACCAGAAAAGAAATGGAAGCTGGTCTTCATGAACACATCACATTGTCAGCTGTGCAGAGCAGGGCATGGGCTGTGCTCTTTGCAGCATCACTTCAGAAACCCAGTCCTGCGATCCCAAAGCACTTAGGAAAGCCAGGCAGGAGAGACTGAGCTGTGAGGATCTGGGATAGCCTGGGATAGCTTGGGATTTTTATCATCCACTGTGATTAATTTTACACAATGTAACAAAACAGGCTGCTTTCTAGAGATATGATATTCTGTACATGGTATCAGGAAAGGTCTCAGATTCATGAAGTGGGTCCCATTAGAAAAGGCTATATTGGAGAAGAGGAAGGGAAGAATTTTTGAAAGATTAGAGGAAAAAATGCATGGAGCAAGAAATGATAGAGAATCTAAGCATTCCTCAGTTAAAGCCGACTGTGAAGGCTGCAGCTTCTCAGGACAGAGGAACTGAAACTCCCTGTGCCGTCTGAATTAAAAAAGTCATGACTTTAGCCTTTGTGTCATCCCACAGTTACCCAAACCATGGACAACCCACAATCCATAGCATCACCAGAGAGAGAGGAATGTTAGGTCACACTGGTCCTGCTTCATGCATGTGATTTGAGGATGGGGTTACTCAGTCAGGATGTTTACCTTTGGCAAAATACTAACTTTTAAACTAGGAAGACACTAGAGAGAGATGGCTGGCAAACCAGGAAGGGAAAACCATCACCAAGCATATGCCAGCACTGTTTCCAGAGACATCAAAATAACTGGAATGTGATGGGCAAATCATGAAGAACCTTTGGGATACGAAACGGCAGCTGTTTCTGAAAGACTGTGAGAATTGAATTTTTAAATTTTGAAACCTTTGAAACTGTATCTCTGGGCTCAGGCTGGCAGCAAGCATGTCACCTGATGTTTCTAAATCACCCTCCAGAATGAGCAGGAGCAGATCCCTCAGAAGAACAGCATGGCACAGACTCCAGCCACCAACACGGGACCCTACACAGTGCTACACCACAACCTGCTTCCCTCATCACCCAGTGACACCTGCTGAGAGGCTTGGCTTTGCTGCTAAGGGGCTCTGACCTCCCTGCCAGTGCGTTTATTGCCTCAGTGACAAGAGAAGTGAGTTCCTGCCCATCTCTTCACATAAGTTCATGAAAAGACGAGGTTTGGGAAAAATCTGAAAACCAAGTAGAGACAGCAGGACAGAGTGGTCCTGAAACAAAATGAGTTTCAGGTTTTTCCGTTATAAAAAGTGATATACAGTGCATGGGAAGAACATAGAAAAAAGATCAAGCATTCAACCACTCTTCCCAGGACATTCTATTTCTGCTCTCAATGAGTCAGGGAAGGAAACTGCCACTGTGTTCAGTGCAATTTAACAATTATTGTCCTGGCAACCTCATCATCATGGCCCCTCAGTGACAATTCTTACCAGGTTGGTAGAGGCTAAAGACCAAGACTCTGATTTTTGGTAAATCAGTAAAATGCTTTGAAACTGACAATTTTTCCAGCTATTCATTGTGAGTTACTTATTTCTTAGGAATAAATGTGGATCCAAACTTAATTTTGAGTGTCTGTAAACCGAGGAAAAGAATATCCTAAGAAGAAAACACCCTCGTTGCCCTGCAGCACACAGTCCCTGTGCCGAGAAGCTGCCAGAGCTCAGCGTCTCCTCTGCAGACACTGAAAACCTCCCTGAGCCCCACTGCTCCTCCTCCCACCACCTGCCTGGGACCTGGCCACCTTCTGATTCTGCACCTATGTGCAGAGCACTTACCCAGACGGACGTGGCAGGGGAGGACTCTGTCTGAGGTCTGCTCAGGCTCAGTTAGAAGGGGTTATAATGCATCTCTGCCGTTTGTGATTTTAGTGTCTGTCGAAGGTGACAAGTTCCCGCTGGGGAGCACGGAAATGTGGCCTCCCAGTGGAGCACCATGCCTGCCTGTCACAGTACTTTCTCTGTCTTGGATAACAGGCATCTGGGGAGAGCTGGGCATAAACAATCTGAGCTCCCTTGCTATATCCGTGAGAGGGATCAGTTGGCCCCGTGATGTAAACAACCTGACTTTGCTCATTTTAAACTCAAATGTAATCAGTCCCAAACCATTTGTATTTTCTGATGAGTCTCACATGGAGCATCTGGTTCCCCTGTAGTGTTGTTCTGGTGCCTCAGTTTCCATACTCCCAGCTTCAGGACTCAAGCTGTGGGTGGCTTTTACAAGTACATCTAAAAGGAAGTAACATGATAAAGTAGAAGGAAAGGCAGAGCTGGAGCCTGGAGGTGATGCAGCCACCGGCAGATGAAGGCTGCTGAGGACAAGGCCAAGCCCAGGATAGACTTCAGTCCCCAGAAGCCTGAGTGACCAGCCTCATCTTCACTTATGCAGCAGAAAGACTCGCTCCTGAGCTGACAGAAACTCCCAGCAAGTGCACTCCGGTCTCTCATGCCATTTATACAGAGTTTTACAGAACACTAGAAACTTGGGGACAAAATAGAGCCTGCTGGATTCTACTTACAGCCAAGGTGGCAAACACCTACATTCCAGGCATTTAGGAGGTGGAGACAGGATTTGTGTTCAAAGCTGCATAGAAATATCCTGTCAATAGAAACAGTTATTTTAGTGGACTCAGGAATAGTTCAGGTATTAGAATTGGAAAACATACTTTAGAACAACAATTGCCAGTGTTAGAGGTTAATACAGATAGAAGGATGAAAAGATTAGTAACTTCCACAGAGAATAGAAACCTAGAAGGACCTCAGTAGAAACAGAAGAACTGAAGGCTGCAGATTTCCAACCTCTAATTCCATGTGGATGGGCCAATGGGGATTGGAGACTGGCGAAGAGCACAGTGGCCTTTAAAGCAAGTTGACAGGTGTTTCTCGTCATGTACAGTTCACTTCAAGCCAGACCCAAAACTCCTCTACCCCCTGCCCATGGCTGGCATGACAAGGCCATTGAATGCCCGCTGCTGGCTGCCGCGCCTGCACAGGCTGGAACCACAAGTCTGGGCGGAGGGTGTCCAGGTTGAATGAATCCACAGAGCACGAGGTTGAGGTGGAACAGCTTCAGCTCGGTTATTGTTCTGCTGGGGCTAGCTTTTATACCATGGCACCAAATGAGGAGTGGGCTGCGAAGGGACTGTCACCAGACCCCAGCAGGGATCAAGGAACGATCATCATGCACTCAAAATTCCTTTCCCAACTCCAGGAGCAGAGGGAATTTATTATGTTTTCTTTGCAGATAAGCACCTCAAATGGGGGCAGGGATAAGTAACACGGAGCTGCAGTTCCCACAGCTGGCCAGTTACACTGTTCTGTCCCCGACAGCCCTTGAGAGGGGCTGGGGATGCTGTAGCAGAGGTGGAACTGCTCCTTTAGGAAACCAAGGATAATACTTTGGAGAAGCCAGCGAGATCTGAATACACTTTCCTGGTGCCAGTGTAGATGCATGTGGCTTTAGAAAAATGAGTCACTTCTCTGGGTCTTGGTTTCATGATTTTAAAGAAAAAGGAGTGGAAATTGCACTTTGGTTGTGGTGATTAAATAAGATAAAACAAACACATTGATGTCTGGGTCCTCCCCCACCCCACTGAGTGAAATCAGATGCCTGGAGCAGGTCTTAGATGAACAGTAACAACACCCTCCCAATCCCTCCAAAAGAAAAAAGAAGCAAAAGACAAAGAAGCAAAATGGAGGTTTTTCAAGACAGGGCTTCCTTGTAGCTTTGGAACCTGTCCTAGAACTTGTTCTATAGATTAGGCTGGCCTCAAACTCACAGAAATCCATCTGTCTCTGCCTCCCGAGTGCTGGGATTAAAAGCTTGCACCACCACTGCCCAGAGAGGACCCAAGTTCTATCCCCAGAACCCACATAAAGGTGGAAGACAAGAACTGAATCCACACTGTCGTCCTCTGACCTCTGTTGTAGAATATTATTTTAAGGTGTGCTACTTTTGTTTATGCTCTAGAACATTTGGTTAATGATGCAAAGATGTGTTTGATTAAATAAAATTCACCTGTGATCTGGAGGCTAACTCAGCAACTACCTGACAGGAAGTTGTAGGGAGGAGTCAAGTGGAGAAAGGTGTATGAGGACGGGGGAGAGAAAAAGCACAAGGACTTCTTGGGAGATGCAAGGAGGTATGCTAGGTGAGCTGATTGCTATTCAGACTCTCTGGAAAGCAGGATTCTACCTCAACCTTTGAATCTTGAGTTCTTTAGCTAGACAGAGATTTAGATAGTTCTCTAAGCAGCTTTGAAAAAGTCGGTGCCTGAGAGAAGAGAGTGTCCTCAGGCTGTGACTCTTGTGACCTACCTCTGTTAACGATGGAGTTGTAATTGCTGACTAGTGTAGACATAGCTTAAAAGGCAGCAACCATCAAAAAAGAGGGCAATAGCTGGTACTCCAGCAGGTGGTAGAACCACACAGAAGAAAGGATCTTGCCAACTGGCTTTGTTGCATTTGCCATCCAGAGCTCTCAACGGTCTGTTCTGCTGAGTCTGCTGTCTAAACTCGCTCCACTTGCCTGGAGAAGTCAGAACTATTGGTGAGAGATTTGGGGAATCCTTTAGGAGTGTAGAATAGTTAGATAATATTAAAAAGAATTTTTTCTAAGTTAAGGATAGGAAGCATAACAATACAGGGTACTAGAGCTCTCTATACTGCTATCTTAAAAGGTTTAAAGTTATAAGTAGAATATGGGAAGATTAATGATGGAACTAACACTGATATAATACCAATAGCTCATACTATCAGTATAATAACTAACATCAGTAATAGCCTAAGTGCTTTTTGTGCTAAATGTGATAAGGATGCAGATCATGGAAAGATATACAAATGAAAAAAATAAAAATACAGACAGAAATTTAGAGAAGAATTTGCTACATCATTATATGGTGAGACTGGAGAGGAAAGGACTAAGGTTATTAGAACACCAACTTTAATATATCCAGTTACTGCTCAACAACAACCAATAGTTAACATGCATCCCCAAGGCTATACAGAAGTTAATTGGAATCCTGTAGATATGTTAGACTTAAAGAGAGTTAAGGAAGCAGTAGTTTCATATGGTAAGGATTCACCCTTTGTAAGACAGATGCTAAATTCTTGGGTAATGAAGAATGGAATTATTCCCCAAGAATAGAAAGATTTAGTTTCAGCAGTGTTGGAAGTTGGCCCTCAATTACAATGAAGAACCTTGTGGAGAGAGGAAGCCAGGGCCCTGGAACAATGAAAAAGGACTAGAAGTCGTGAGATTTCCCAAGACCAAATTCTTGTTGAGGGTCAGAATGCTGATTTGCAAAGACAGTATATGTTAGATGATAACACCCTGATTCTATGTTGTATAGCAGCTTTGAATGCTTGGAACAAGGTTGAAGAATTAGGAAAGAGGATTGAATCATTTACTAAAAGTATACAAGACCAGAAAGAAGCTTTCACTGATTTTTTTTGCACAGATTAACATCAGCTGTAAATAGAATGATATCTGATCCAGATGGTAGACAAATAGTAATTGAATCTTTGACTTTCTAAAATGCTAATGTAGAATCTAAAAGAGCCATTATGCCTTTTAGGGTAAGGTCAGCACCCATAGAGGAATGGATCAGACATACAATTGACATTGTCCCCCATACTTCTAATGGTGTTACTTGGATAGGAGCATTGCTTTCTAAAAATATGAAGAAGAATAAAATAAAGAAAAATCAAAATGTTAGACATTTTAATTGTTATACAAGGTCATCTGAAAAGGGAGAGTAGGCAAATTGTCCATAGAAATAATATTTATAATAAAAATAATTCTAACAGAAGGCCCCAACCTTTTGGAGAGTACAGAAGGTGTGGCAAAGGCCATCATTGGACTGATGAATGTAGATCAAGAAGGGACAGACAAGGTAACCCTTTATCAACAGGAAATGCCTAGTGGGGCCCCTCAAAGGACCAATGTCAAATGTAGTTCAATCATTCCCTGATAGTTTTAGAAAAACCCTCCCAAAACAATTAAGAGATGTAATGTCTGTGGTTGAAAACCATATGGCTCTGGATTCCAGATCAACTATAGAAAATCAAACAAAAATTTCAGGAGAAACCATAAAGCAAATATTTTGGCAAGCTTCTATTGGCAAGCTTCTATAAATGAACAAAGGCCAAAGTTGAACATACAAATAAGTGGCCTAGAACTTGAGGGTTTGGTAGATACCGGTGCAGATGTCACAATAATTGCACTAAAATCGTGGCATTCAGGTTGTCCTCTGCAGAAAGAAACTGTTCAGCTTTTAGTGATTGGCAATTTGTCTCAAGTAAAACAAAGAGCAAGATGAGATGAATGTATAGGACTAGAAGGACAGATAAGAAAATTGGAAGTATATGTGGCTGACATAACAATGAATTTATGAGGATGTAATTTATTGCAGCAATGGAAAAACACAGATTACTATTTCCTCAATCTCAGAAACAAATTATAAAAATTAGGAAATGCTTATGAGGAAATATTAAAAGATACTATCAAGGACAGTCACAGACTATTCAAGATGTACATAAGGATAGCATAAAAGCTGTTGGTATTTCAAAGGTACAACTTCCCTAACTTTAAAATGGTTGACTGACAAGCCTGTATGGGTGGAGCAATGGACTTTGACATTAAAAAATTACATGACTTAGAACAGCTAGTAAAGGAGCAGTTAAATGCTCAACATATTGAAGAATCACAAGTCCTTGGAATTCTCCTGTACTTGTTATTAAAAATAAATCTGGAAAATGGAGGATTGTAACAAATCTAAGAGCCATAAATAAGGTGATTCAGCCAATGGGCTCTTTACAATCTGGAACTCCCTTGCCTTCTTTATTACCTAAAAGATAGGCTATTATAGTGATTGATTTAAAAGACTGCTTTTTTACCATACAATTAAACAGCCAGATAGATAGAAATTTGCCTTCACAATGTCTACTTATATTAATTTGTAGAACTTTAAGCTGAGCCCTCTCAGCCTCAATACCTTAGTGCTTCCCCCCTGCCTGGGAACCAAGGATCTAACAACTACACATGAATGTACTGAAATGTTGGGAACTTTCCATCATCTCCCTGAGTCCTTGTGAATGTTCTCTAAATAGAACTCAGTTATTAAATAGGGGCAAAATAACCTTTATTTGTTGACTCAGTTCCTGATGTTTTGACTCAGTCCCTGGAAAGGGGCAAAGTGATCCTCAAGTGTTCTTCCTTACCTCATCTGATCTGACAACTGCTCTCCAGCCAATTATTGGTAATAGCCTTTTAAATAAGCCAATCATAATAGTTAAAGTACAACCCCCAGCACCTCCCTTGTTTCTGTGGCTTTTTCCTTTAAAAATAGCCTATACCAGCCATTCTGGGTCTTTCTGGCTCCTTGAATGCTAAAAGACCCTGTCATGACAGAATAAGATCCTCATGCTTTTACATCAACTGTGGTATGAGAGATGATCTCTTGAGGCTACTCCTCCTCAGTGATTGGACTCTAGGGTCCAACAAATTTTCAGCCTGTAAAGAGATATCAATAGAAAGTTCTCCCATGAGTGATGTTGGACAGTCCCACCCTGTGCCAATATTTTATATGACAGTCATTAGAAATAATTTGTGTACATTCTCCAATCTATAAATTAACATTATATGGATGATATCTTATTAGCTGAGTTAAATGCAGATACTTTAGGAAGAATGTTTGAAGAAATAAAGAAAATTTTGTCTTGCTGGGAATTACAAATTGCTTGTGAGCAAATACAAATAGGAGATTCTATTGATTACACAGGAAATAAAATGTTTACAAACAATTCAACCATGGCCTGGAGAGATGGCTCAGCAGTTAAGAGCACTAACTCTTCTTTCAGAGGTCCTGAGTTCAATTCCCAGCAACCACATGGTGGCTCACAACCATCTGTAATGAAATCTGGTACCCTCTTTAGGGGTACAGGTACACATGCAGGTAGAATACTGTATACATAATAAATAAATAAATCTTTAAAAAATTCAACCACAAAAGATAATAATCAGGGAAGATCAATTGTGAACTTTTAATGACTTTCAAATTTTTCTGGGAGACATTTCTTATCTACAATTTACTATTGGAATAACAACTCAAGAAATGAGTAATTTGTTTCAAACCATTGGTGTAGGAGATTCTTCTGTTTGTGTGTTACTTTCACTGGTTGAATAAAGAGACTGCCTTGACCTTTTGATAGGGCAGCCCTTAGGTGGGTGGAGTAGACAGAACAAAATTCTGGGAGGAAGAAGGCAGTGTGGCAGATGCAATGCTTCTCCTGGCCAAGATGAACGCCAGTTAGATTCATGCCAGTAAGTCATAGTCAAGTGGCGATACACATCAATGGAGATGGGTTAATCAAGGTGTGAGAGTTAGCCAATAAGAGGCTGGAGCTAATGGGTCAGGCAGTGTTTAAATGAATACAGTTTCTGTGTAATTATTTCGGGGGTTAAGCTAGTCAGGTGGTGGGACACAGCCCGCTGCTCATCATTACAACAAACCAACAAACCATAAAAGGTGGCAAGGTCTTAAATAGTCCAAGAGAATTATCAGCTGAAGCTGAGAGAGAATTGACTTTGGTGGAAAATAAATTACAGGTTGCTCATGTGGATCATTTGGATCTGGAACTTGATTGCATTTTGGTTATTTTACACTTTATGCATTCCCCTACAGGGATTTTAATGCAGACGGAAGATACTTTCTTAAAGTAGATTTTTTTAGCCAAACAAGCAGAATAAAAACTTAAAGACCTATGTGGGAAAGGTTTCTGAGTTGATTCTTAAAAGAAAATTAAGATTTCATCAATTGAAAGAAATGGACCCAGCAGACACTGTAGTACCTCTTACCGATGCTGAAATTGCTTCATTATGGGCAGAAAATAAAAACTGCCAAAGAGCTTGTGAAGCACAATTAATAAAAGTTTGGGGTCAGAAATTGGGATTCAACCTGATGATCCAAAAAGCAAAACAGCCATCTCTTACCTTGACCTCAGTCTGAAAATGGCAATCCTGGCTTCAGGAATCTCAGAAGGAGACTGTCTGAGATCTGTCTTCTCCCGTTTTATATTCCTCTCTAGGGCTGGGATTAAAGGTGTGCACTACTGTCATTAAAGGCATGCACTGCCCAGTTTTATGGCAACTAGTGTGGCTACTAGGATTAAAGGTGTGTGTTACCATAATCTAATCTATAAGGATGACCAGTTGGACTATTTTACTCTCATCTCTTCAAGAAATCTTTATTTATTAAAATAAATCTGAAATGCCACTACATTTCCCTATTTTTGTCTAAAATAAAGAGAAGGTTATAACTAATATAAGAAAACCATATACAGTAAGTACAATGACTATGTACAATATATACAGGCAATAAATACAACAACAATGACTAGTTCATTTGCATTTGAAAAATTCAGAGAAAATATTTTATACCTATCCTATCTTAGTAAGTCCAAAGTCTTATGCATAATTTAATTTCTATAATAACTTGCTTTCTGTTTGTGGTAAACTATAACTATAGCTGTCTAATTCTCAACTCTCTCAGAGACCCAAGAAAGAAATAATTTTAACTGAGTAAGTAGGAAGAACAAGCAAGTGACTTCTAAAAATGTGAGTAATGGCAGAAACAGCTGGCTGTACAGACAGTCACCCAAAGTTCCACTGCAACATTGGGGCATCCATCTTTGGCCTACAAGTCTAGCATATTTAACAGACTTTTCTCTGAAGCAGGATATTTTGTGTCCTGCTCCTCTAATTAGGACAGCATACTGTCAGCAGTTGAGGCATGGGCATTTTCTTGCCCAGTGGCTTATTTTGCCACAAAGAAAGTAAACTCCATGTGGAATTTCTTTGCTCCCCATTATCTTCTCTGAAGTAGATTGGTGCTGCCAAGAGCAGATGTGTCTCATTGTCATAAAAAAGAAGCACTTAGATTATTAAAATATCTTAAATGCCATATTTTGTAGATCTCTAAAGTGTTTGAAGATGAGCTATCTATTTAAATCATATCTTTGTTTGACATTGAAACATACCTATTATGACTACAACTTCAATTTTACTAAGTGACTAACTACTAACCTATATTTTTTTATTATCCTAAACAGTTGATAATAATAATTTTCAAGGACTATAAATTTGCATTACATTGTTCAATGAGCTGAATAGGTACAGTACCTTGAACAAGATTAGAAATGTATGTACAATATGTTTTAACAAAATGAATCTCAAATTTTTATCAATATGCAAAGTTTGCA